ATTTGGTATATGATACACAATGATTTGGTATATGATACACAATGAGGAAACAGGGTAAGAAAAATAAAATCATTCACTCCCTTGGGGTGAGGTTTGGAATCTTCCCCCTCGGGTTGAGATTCCCCTATCTCACCCTCAAAGAGGTGAGAGATTCTATTATTCCAACACTGCATGGAGTAAGATGAAATTGTTAGGGTCAGAGGTAAAATCTAGGGTAGGTTTGGGAACCAGAAACATATAATTCTTTTTTGGCCTAACCTTTTTGTAAAAAAATATATTCTGTTCATATTTTAACATAATGTCAAAATTATCAGCAATGACAAAAAAACTATCAGCATGTAGTAATACAAATAATATATACTTCAGATGTGACTTTTCTGAAATGTGTTAACCAAATGTATTAAGCATATATGGCACAGTCTGGGTAGATATGGCATTTGCCGCGCAAATATGGATGGATTCAGGGATATGGCCTATGCACTACAAACACTATCACAGAAATAAAACAATTCACATCAAAGAGGACAAGTTATGATAAATAAGATTTATATTGAATTTGTTATAAAAATATATGATAAATTTTTATTATTGTGAGACTAACTGTTCACCATTTCTTGCGGATGTATTTCTTACTTTCAGAGATTCAGTGAACTTTTATAAGCTTCTTGGTCTTGAATTTGAAATTTAAAACATCTGTAGTTTGATCATTATTTCTATGAATCTCAAATGATGATGCTTTTCCAATATACAGGTACCAGGTACCGACCAGTACGAGAAGTAGTGAGGTTCAGCCCAAGGATGTGTCCCCTCTAGTCCACCCCTATTTGGCCAGTCTCGCACAGGACAAAGGTAAAAGGCGGTGGAGGCAATGTTATGAGTATTCATTAGAGTTAAAACCTTGACGCATTTGTCTGTGCAGGTTCAGCTGCAGACAATGGATACCTGGTGCATTAGTTTCAAAACAGTCTTCAAATGAAGATTTAGACATTATTTTTGTCATGGTCATGACTGCATATGATGGACTCAAATAATTCACTCAGATATCTCAGTAAAAGTACATTTTTGTCAAGGGCAAAGTGAAATACATATGTGTGTTAATTCGACATTCACAATGAATACTGTATATTTTGTGTGCTGGATACTTGCATATGCCTTCATAATGATATTGAATTCCGTGTCCTAACAGAGGGAGAACAAGGCAGTTACATAATATCAAGGAGCACACAAATAAGATCTATTTGGACACGTACATTACACTGTCATTTAATGGTATAAACTTGCTTAACTTTGACTTTCAAACTCTGACAATAGAAAGTGTTAAATGTGTCCTGATACACTTTGGCAAAAGCAGGTTCATTTTTAACAGTTAATCTTAATCTGTTAATCTACTTTCCAACTTTAAACATCAAGAACTTATTCAGGCATGCTTCGACAAAATCTGGGGAGAAATGTTTACGCAATGTCAAAATATATTTAAGAGGATTTGATTGAGAACGTCTTTGTATTGTGTCCTTTAGGGGATGACTCGGACGCCCAGTCAGTGACGGCCCTGGCCTGTAAGAGTCTGAACCTGTCACAGGCATTACACGAAAAGTGCTTACACTTAGACTTGTCTGCCTCCAGTGATGATGATGAAACAATTCGCCATGCCCAGGTACAACCTCAGGCTGATCAAGTATTCCTCATTGCTGTATTTCATGGCCAGTATATAGTACTGTACATGGATGTTATTACAACAATGCTCACATCATGCAGCATTCACAAGGCCTGGTTTTGATATTTATAATCATATTTCAAATGCTTTCAGGTATTTTTTGTATTGACCTGAAGCCAGGCCCTGTGTTCACACACTGTTTGTCTTAAATGAGAACTTAAACATAGAATTAACACTGTAAACGAGAAGAAAAGAAAGAAAATGAAGGTCGGTCTAAGATTAGGTGCACAGTGTAAGGGAGATAAGTACAGAAATAACCTATCTACAATGGAAGGGAGATAATTACAGAAAAAAACACTAGTCTAATTAATCTACTAACTACACTATGTTGCAGAAAACATTTTAAATAGACCAAAAACTGCAGAAGTATGACAAATTCATTTAAATATTAACAGGTTTGACTGACATATGATTCTTTGTAGTTCTGAACTCAACATTTTTTGTTTTCAGAATGCAAGACTGGCACTACTCAACCCTGATACCATTCGTAAGTATCAGTATACATACAGTATATATATATATGGCTGG